GAGTGTTTTCAATGCAAGGAAGGCGTAATAATATAAATGTATAGGTATAGAACAGGTATGGTATTACGAATATATAGACTGCTGTTTGTATCAAATTGGTTTCTTTTTTATATTCTGCAAAGATAAAAACTATCGAATTTTTCCATGATGTTTACAGAGAAATGTCACAGCTGCCAAACTCCCCCCCTCCCCCACCCCCAAACGAACATATGACGTTTCTCGTGGAAAAAATCGATATGTGAGGCTTCCCTTACGATAAACTGATTATATTTGCTTGTAGTCAATGCTTGTAAATTTTGCCTGCTAATCAGTGATTTCCTCATGATTATTTTCAGTTGTTAAAACCCAGCAGGTAATTTCCATGGGTGGCAGGCGACACGTGAAGGGCAAAAGTGTTTGGAGCAGTCGTTTTTGCAAGGCTAGCCGATTTACATTTGGATGTACAGAATAATTCATCGTTACCCGCCACCAGTCACCGCCATCTTCAGAAAATACCTGCCGGTTGAAACCCATTGTTTGTTGTTTGCAATAGTTGTTGACTTGTTGACATATTGAAACGGAACATGTACAATGAATTTTCGCAGTTTTAATTACAACTATAGCAAATTATTAAAATATGAATATAGGCTAATTGTCATATATGTAATATGTGATTCGGTGGCCAAATGGACTATTTGTTATTTGAAGGCATACTACATTACATTTACATATACGTAGTGAGATAACTATACTGCATCCAAAAAACTGGTAGCTCAGAGTTATGCCAAGCAACCGATTAAAGTATACTGGTATAAAATACGATACAAATCTGGAGCGAAAAACCGAGGTTAAACTAAAATAAACTAAAAGTTAACCTGCTTAACCTCTTTGACGAGTCGCGCCAATTTAGTCGCGCCTCGCGCTTTCGAGTCGCGCCTCGCGCTATTGAGTCGCTACTCGCATGCCGCGCCAATTAGATTATCTCTTTGCAGGAGGTAGGCACATTTCAAATTATTATTTCGGTCAGAAAATATTAACTATTTACACCAAACCAGTGATAATATATTTAGATAGGTACCAATTATGTTTCTATCAAAAAGATTTAGGGAAAAAGGTAATGTAAGTCCACTGCTGTTT